GCTTTGAAAGGAGTGACGTGATTGGTTACCGACCTTTACGCACATCTGTTATTCCATAGCGATTTGTGGACCGAAGGACCAGCAGCGAAGTTCCTACTTTATGTGACGACTCATAGTTCATATAACATGACAACTGAAATTTGAATCGTGTTGTTGAGGGACTGGTGTCCTTTGATGTACAAAAGTTAACTAAAAATTAACTAAAGTTAAACTTTAAGTGGTGGTACTTGAAACTCGTTCATTTCAGAACCATACAAAGCAAGGAGTGCTGAATTACTTATATGTTTGTGTATTAGGATGTTTCCAGGGACTACACTATACAGTTTGATTTAAAAAAACCAACAACAACAACTAGGCTGTGGAGCTCTGGAATCAGACAGACCTTGGGCAGAAGCCATTTATTAGCTGTGTGACTTCTGGCAAATTACTAAACCTTTCTGAGGATAATTTCTAAAATGAGAATAATGATATTATCTGCTTCCTAGGGCTGCAGTGAGAAGTCAATGAGATAACGCATGAAATCACTTAGCATGGTATCTGGCAGAGTCAGCGTTCAACAAATGTCATCGTTATTACTGTTACTTAAAAATAAGTATGTGGAGAAGTGCTGCAAGGCAGGCAGCTCAGGCAGTGGCAGCTCTTAGGAGGTGAAATCCACAGGAAATGCACCAGATGAGCTGACACTTTCTGGTGCAGCTTCCCAGGCATTTAAGATCCCAGGCTTCCTTCCTGCCAGGTCAGGGGCGGATGGTCAATGGTCAGTGTCCTCCCCCAACACACACCTCCAGCAGCCTGGGAAGCTACTAGCTACCCTCTTGGCCAGAAAGCACCACGACTGGTGGGTGACCCACAGATGAATGATCTTTAGGGAAATGCCTCAGTGACCAACATTCTAGTGGCTCATGTCAGCTAACATCTCCCGTTGGACAGGCCTTGCCAAGCAGGCTACACTGATACCAGATAATGTCCAAAGCCTCCTTAGCCTGGCCTTTGGAGCTGGCCTGAATCTAGGCTTCGCAGCTTCCATGTTCTCTCTGCTTCCGAACGTATAAATCCTTTGCTTTTGAATAAATGTTGGCCACTTTTGCTCAAGCTGTTCTTCTGCCTGGCATGCCCTCCAATCTGATCCCCTTGGCAGGGGCTAGCCCCGGCTCTGCTTCCTCTCTGAAGCTTCCTGTGTCTACCTGGGCTCTTCTCTGAACTGGGAGAGCACCTACTACGTGCCTGACCTCTGTGCTAAATTCTCTAATCTTCTCAACAGTTTACAAGGAAGGCATAATCATTCCCATTATCTCCCAAAAGGAGAATGAACCAAGCTCGCTAAGCTGAGAGAGCCTGAGCTGGGATTCAAACTCTGGTTCCTCTGTTTCCAAAGTCCAACTTATTTTACCCAAAATCCCTCATTCAAGAGGTGGGCGCTGGTGCCTCCATCAGCTCCCTTGCCCGCAGGAGACTATCAGCCCTTGGGGACAGAAGCCATGCCTTGTCTAGCTTCCTCTCTGTATGGCAGCTTGCAAAGGGCTTGCAAGGTAATTCTGGCTTTACCCTATGTCACTTAAGCCAATGTTACGCAATAAGAACATTTGGTTTTAGTGTTTCTCAGTAGTGGTATACTTGATATTCAAGGTGAGTCAGTTCTGTATTGGGCAAATTTACCCAGAGCCTTGAATGATGTATGGCATTTCTGGGCTCCAAATGTCAGAAGCTTCCCAGTTACTGAGAACATACAAACCATGGCACTTCTGGAGAAGGGTCCTGGAGAGGGGGTAGCATGCCTAGGCAAGATGAGCCTATTACACGAGCAATCACAGAAGATGAAAGCTTGGCCTTGGACTGGCATAGAACGATCCCAGCTCTACTCTGAACTAGCTGTGGGACCTTGGTCGTGCCATACTACAGCCTGCACAATGGGGACAATAACAATGCAACCATCCACAGAAAGCACAGGTCCTGGCCCACAATACACCCTGAGTATCTAAATCTATAAGGCTTTCTGTACAAATTAGTGAACTAAGCAGGACAACAAAGTGTCCTGTCAGATCATGAATCCTAAATTTTTTTTTTTTAAATCTAAAAACAGAGTCCCTATGAGACAAATGTTTGGTGAAAACTTGTAGAATCAATGGTTGTGTCCTGAGGGAAGTGACAGCCTGCCTGGGGAACTCTAACAAGCACACTGACTTATACGCAGTTCGCCCTGGGTTTGGAGTTGGCCAAGGAGAAATGACTTCTGGAGACCTGAGGTTCCCAGGCCAGAGTGGTTGGTGGGTGGGACACACAATAGGTGGACCACTCTTTATTCCTCCTGGCACAGAACCCAGATCCAAAATTGAAATCTCCCTCTTCCCCCCCGCCCCCGCCTCTTTAATCCCCCTCCTTTCCTCCCTGACCTACGGATGTTGCTGTCTCCCTTTTTTTTTTCAAGAACTGGATCTCTGAAGGTGGGGCGTCTCCCCCCATGTGCTTGGGGCACGCACTCGGGGGGTCTGGTGCACCTGGGGCCTGGCGAACCCGAGGTATATGGTCTGTGGCTCCACCTGGGGCGCTGAACCCAGGACCTTCTGCGTGAAAAGCAGATGTGCTAACCATTACACTATGGAGCCACCCCCAAATTTCACTCTTTAGGGTAGTTTTACACATGAGGGAAAAATATGTATGTCCATATATTCAGTGCCTGGCAGGCACATTAGAGCCACATCAGTTTTATAGATGGAAGATCTGAGGCTCATAGTGGGTGAATGACTTATCCAAAGCCAAAGTCCTAGAAAAGTACAGAAGGGCCCCAGTAGTGAATTTAAGGCTCATACCACTGTCCCGAAATGAGGAAGCAAGATGAGCGACTGGGAATTTCTCCAGGAAGCTGGCAGTACACCATGTCTTGTTAGGGTAGAGTGATTCTTCTGCTGCTGCAACTGGAGTGACTTTGGCATGGTGGCTGCAGTAGGAAGGAGTCATGTCTAGCTAGATGTCCCAGCATGTGGGCTACCTGAGAAGCCAGGTGAGCAAAGGAAGATGGAAGGAGCCTCCTGCGCTGACATCTTTATTCACATGGGCAGACTCTCTGCATCTGCATGGGCTGCCACTCCGGGGACTGAATGAACGGGGTGGTGGGGATTAGTGTAAAGGACTTCTTCATGGCTCTTAGCTTGCTTGGTTCCTTTGTCACCCCACCTGGATTATAAAATCAGGGAGCCCTACTCTTTGGACATGTGGAAGGTTATGTGTGGAGGGTGGGAAGCCACAGATGTCGCCATGTGGAGTTGTTCTCCAGGAGGAAAGAGAGATTCACACAATGAAGCCAGGCTGAATGTTTCTAACCTGCATTGTCTCCTACCACGTTGGTTACCTTCAGGTAAGAGTGCGTCTCTGCTTGGGCCTCCAGCCTCATCATTTCTCCTTCGAGACATCCTATGCATCTTTCCATCACAGATTAAAAGTCATTTCCTTTGAGAAGTCCTCTCTGACTCCACATAGGGTTGAGCCAGATGCTCCCTGTATGTGCTCCCAAGGCCTGAGTTTCTGCCCATTGCAGCGCTCATCACAGATGCTAACTGCTGGGTTTCTGTCACTCTTACCAGACTCCAAGGACAGGATCTATATGTCTGTCCTGTTCTCTACCAGATCCTCAGCCTCTGGCAGCTCAACTAGCACACAGCAGGTTCCCCAAATCATTAGTGCCTACGATCCCAGGAGGCTGAGGGAGAGACTGAGACCAATCTCTCCCAGTGATTGAGACCTTGTGGGGACCCCCTTTGGACAACTTTCATAACTTTCCTGTGTTTCATTTAAATGGGGTTATTCTGAGTGAAAAACACAAAGCAGGACAGGTGGGAGCACTCAGTGTCAGCCACTTGGCTTGTGGTTGTCAGTTTTATAGGTGGGGACATGGAGGCTCAGGGAAGAACGTGCCAGGTCTACAGTCTCAAGGCTGGGAGGGAGCAAGCGTTGGACTCCAGCCTGGGCTCTGGCCTCCACTATTTGTCTTTCGTCATTCTACACTTCAGGTTGTCTCCTGTTTGTCCCACTTGTTCAGTCAACAAACAGCCAATAAGCAGTTACTGGATGCCTGCTGTGTGCCAGGTCTCACGCTGGGTGTTGTGTGGTTGATAACAAAAAAGCCTCTCAGTAGGCAGTGGATAAGCCAGAGCTGTGGGCATTAGTGTAAAATCCCCCAGGGCTAAAATTTCAGCTTCTCTACTAGTTGGCTGAGATATTGCTAAGGTCTTTAAGCTTTTGGAGCCTGTTTCCTCCTCTAATAACAAGGAAAGTAAGACTTCCCAGTAGGAGAGCCTAGGGCAACAGCTGAGCACTTAATGGACGGAAGCCCTTATTTTTCTTAATCCTACTTTTAAAATGACCAGCCTGTGCACATGATATAAATTCTTCCCCCTTGCCCTGGGTTCCCAGGGCCCCAGTTCTCCTGTCTCTGTTAACCACCGTTAATAACTTCTTGTGCATCTCACCAGATGACTGGCCCACACACCCTCAGAAACTCCCCACCCCTGCACACGTTCTTTTACACAAATGCTAGCGCGGAACAATTGTTCTTTTTGCCGCTTCCTTTTTTCATCTGAAGTATCTTGGAAGTCGTCTCCTATTAGTGCATTCTGAACATTTTTCGTTTTGGTGTCTGCACAGTATGTCATTGTATGGATCACTGGTTGCCGTTACTATTATCAGTCTGGGAACTTCGCGATCCACAGAGCTGCAGAGCTGGAGTTCACGACCCGGTTCCAGCGCCAGCTCTACCCACAATTTGCCGAGCTACCTTAGGCTGCATCTTCCCCACCGGTACGATCGCGGGGTGGGGAGGGGATGTGCGTGCAGACACGACCACCATAGAGTGCGGGTTAGCAAGAAGCGCGAGTAATTTATCCCCGCGGGGTGGCTCCCAGCTTGGGTGACATTGCGGACAGCCACTCTGCTAACCCCGTAGCACTAAACGCTGCGAGTACTTTGGCACAATCCGGTTCCAGGGCCTCCCGGCCGCGGCATCTTACCTCAGGGAAGCAACGCTCAAGCAGCAGCTACTAACTGGCGCCTCCGCCGCTTCACCGTGCCTTGTTACTAAGGACGTAGAGAGGTTAAAGCAGACCCTGCCCCTCTAAGAGGGCAGAGCCCGGGCTCTACTACTTCCGCCCCAAAGCAACATGGCGGCAGCAGGGAGAGGAGGGGTGAGGGCGCGGAGATGGCTCCCCTCAAAAAGATGGCGACGCCCTGGGCGCCGCGTTCGCGCCTGACGGTTACGTCACTTCCTGGGCGGAGGAGGCTGAGTGGTGCAGTGAGGGACAAACAAAAGGAGGCGCCGGAGGGGCGCAGCGGCCGGCGGCGGGACCGAGCGGCGGGGGCCCAGGGGCTACCCGCTGGGCGGCCGGGCGCGGCTGGCCCAGGTGAGTGGGTGGGATGGGGAAAGGAGCGCGAGCTGTCATCTCTCAGAATCCACTCCTTCACGCCCCCGGCCAGCTGCTCGGCCCCGGGTGCCCGGGGCAGCCCGGGCTCTGCCCTCTGGGGCCAGCTCCTTGGGGCCTCCCGCAGCAGTTCAGTTCTGCCTACGTCCGGGCTCCCCCAGCCCCCGGGTCTCCGGAGCCGCACCCTCTCCCCGGTGCCGCGGCGCGCGAGCCCCCTCCCAGGCACCCCGTGCCTCCCTGCGCTCTACATACCGGGAGTTTCCGCCTCGGCTCCCCAGGTCCCCTTGTCATCCCCTGGGTTCCCCCATATCCTTACCCCTCCACACACACACTCCCCCCTTCATAGAGGTTCCACCTCTGGGCTCTCTCCTTTCCAGCTCTTTTTCGTTTTCAAAGGTTCTTTTCTCCTGGGCTCCCGGACCCCTCCCTCCTCATGATCCGGCGGGAACAGTGCCCCGACTTGGGGACAGGATCTTTGGCTCAGCTTTTGGGGCCTGTCTGGCTTGGGGTTCCTGGGAAGACCAGTCCAGCCCCGGAGTCTGCCTGTATCCTGTGCATCCAGATGGGCCTGGGGGCCAGATCTAATTAGGTCCGGGCTGGTCCCGCTATGGCTGGGTGAGCTGGAGGTCCAGCAGAGTTGGCTCCCAGGCGAAAGGAGCATAGCCTCTGGTCCTTAAGGTTCCTGATGCTGCTGCTCCTTTTGTTGTCTGCTTTGACTGCTTCTTTCCTTTGGTCTGGACTGAAGTGAACCACGATTAGGCTGGTTCTCAGCTGATGCAACTGCTGCCTTTTTTGGAAAGGAAAGATGGTTGGGGGGTGTCCAGCAGCCTCCTCCTGGTGGAGACTTGGCTGAAAGGGTGGGGCTGTCATTCCCCTGACCTACCACTTCCCCTGGCCTACCCCAGGAAGCTTTTTGAGGATGAGGAGGGAGAGAGCTTGGCGAGGGAAAGGGAATTTGGTCTTAAATTGTGGAACGGGGATTTGGGGGAGCCGAAAGCCTCCCACGGGCCTCTCCCACCTTTTCCATTAGGAGTCCCTATAACCCCTGCCAAAGGGTATCCTGCCCTCTGAGTAGACAGACAGACTGAGGGCGGGAGGAGGAGATCTGCTGTTGGTGATACTTTCTGTAGAGGGAATGGAGGAGTGGGAGTTCATTCAGAGGGACTGGGCAGTGCCCGTGGCTCAGTCACATTGGCATTGCCTTCTCGAAGGTCAAGACTTCATCTGGCTCATGCAGGGAGGCAAGGACAGGTGACTTGTACAGAAGGACTGGCTTTGGGAGATGTGCTGGGGGATGAATGACATAGCCTCTGCCTCCCAGTCTTCCTAGTTTTGGAGATTCTTTGGGGTTCGGTCTAGTGCCCTTCTGCCTTCCAGGGACTGTAGGGCACAAAACAGGGTCCCAAGAAATGTCTGTGACTTCCGCCTGGAACTCAACCAGATGCTTTTGTAGTCCATCCCTTGGGCACAAAACTAGGAAGCAGTTTTCTCTGCAGACTTTGGCCTTACTGGACAGTGGGGGCTCCTGAGGGTTGCCCCAGTAGGTAGAACTCAGGGAGGGGGCTGGGCCTTGGGTTGTTGCCTGGCCTGGACTTTGCTAGTAGGAGCTGGAGGAAAGGAATCAGTCTGATTCCTGACTCCCTTTTCTGAGAGTGGAGATGATTCCAAGTTTTTACATGAGGACACGGAGGCACAAGCAAATGGTCTAAGGCCTCATGAGGAGTCAGGCGGGATGGATGTGGGACCCTAGGGCCCAGCACACCATCTCTGCATTCCTTGATCCCATCGTTCATTCACTCAACCATCCTTTAGTAAGTGTCTGACCTGGTCCAGAAATGGTGCTAGGAGAACACAGTCCCTGGCCTCCTCTGAGCTGTAGTCTGGGAGGAGAGGCAGACAGGAAAACATCGATACAGCTTAATAATAGAAGTATTACAGAGGCAGCCCAGAGGAAAGAGGCATCATCTCTGGGTGAATATGTAGAGGGTAGTCACTGTGTGTTTCCTGGAAGAGGAGGGACTAGAAGAATCAGTGACGGGCTGTCCAGTGGCCTGAATTCTGTTTCTGGATCTGCCACAAGCAAGTGACTGGACTGCCCTGTGGGTATCCCCATCCTTGCCGAGGAGCGCGGGGCCGGGGCAGAGGCTGGCTTACATGGCCCCTGTGCCTTCACAGCTCTAGGTGCTTTTGTGCCTAGTTGTCGTCACCCTGTGTGGGACTGCTGGGTCTCCTCGTGAGGCTGGAGACTGTCTTCTGCTTCTTTCCTCCCGGCATAGTGCCTAGCACTGAGTAGGTGTGATAAGTGCTCAGTGGCATGAACGGTTGAAAGGCTCCACAATCCCTCTTAGAACCCGTCAAGTCTCATTGTATGTCTGCAGTCCCCCCGCCCCCCACACCCCTTCCTGCTAACTCCTGCTTATCCTTTGGCCTTCCCTGGTGGCTGGGCCACACGCCCAGCTCTTGGCTGATTTAGATGCTTCCCCACTACCCCTCTTGTAGTCTGATCACTTCTCTGCCTACCCTGCTAACTTGTCTTGTTCACTCGTAAACAGTTCTGAGCAGAGTGCTGGCATGTAGTAGACACGCACTACATGCTTCTTGACTGATAGATGATGGTTGGGTTTTGTGTTAGAGTCGAAATCACGTGTCAGGGCTGAGGATTTGCCTTTGCCTGGATCCGGCTCACCCTGCTATAGTGTATCTCTCTCCACTTCCCACCTCCAGACCTGGACCTAGCCAGGCCGAACCACCGTACATTCTCGGGATGTCATGTTCTTTCCCCTCCAGGCAAACACGTGCTGTGTCTTCTGCCTGGAATGCCCTTTCTCCAACTTCTTTTCCTCAGCAGTCAACTCAGGCAGCGCCTTTTTCAGACAGCCTTCCTTGACCCCGCCAGTCTGGGACTAGTGTTTCTTCCATGTTCCCCTAGCTTCTGGATCCCCCAGCAGAGCCCTGGGCTCTCAGGAGCAAACTGTAACTCTTGACTTGGCATCTCCCCAGTAGACTGATTCTCAATTTTCACCCCAGAGCCCAGTGGAGGGCCTGGCACCGAGCAGGCACTCAGACAATGTTGGCAGCACAGCAGGTAACTGTGATAGTCACACATCCCCGCTGACAGTAGCTCTTGCTTCCTCATAGGGAGGCAGCTTCCATGGAGCGAAAGGAATGCCAGGACCCCGCCCAGACAGACGTGGGCCAGCCTCGGCACCGACAGCCAACACGCAGATAGCAGAGCCGTTCTCAGGGTAAGCACTGGGCCTCTCTCCCTCCAGGCCAGCCATGGCCTCCACTCAGATGCCTTTTCAGACTGGGGAGCAAAGGGCAGTGTCTCTGTCTCTTCTCACTGTAGGTCCAGGGCATCTAGGGCAGAGGTAGCAGAAGGCAGAATGCTTTTTGCGTCTCCCGACTCCGTGGCCAGCCGAGGAGTGTGTGGTTTGCTGTACTCTTCGAATGCCAATGTTTTAAGTTTCATTGCCAGCCTCTGTTTTCTCTCCTTCAGGCCAGATCTTGTCAGTGTGGGTGGTTGTGAATGCTGTCTCGTGACCACACGTCCCAAGGTGTGTTCCATGGAATACCAGTTTCTTTGGTCACCACGGGAAACAACTTCTGGTCTTTGCCGTGGGACTTTTCAGAGCCTTGAATGCATTGAAGTGAGCATGACGAGTCTCTGGGATGGAGCTAGCAAGTTGTGTTTTCCCGCACTTATTTGATCACATGGATGGATATCTTTAGAGACTGGGGTTCCTTGGTCCGTGCTTTGGAAAACGGTCCCCAAAGGCAGGAGAGCGCAGTGGATAGGGCCAACACTTTGTAGTCAGACCCGGGTTTGAGTTCCAGCTGTCCGGTGCTCCATCAGTGACTGTGGAGCCTCCACTATACCTCTCTGTGCCTCTGTTTCCTCGTCGATAAAAAGAAGATACTATTACCACCTTATCTCTCTTTAGAATATTTTGAAGACTGAGTATGTTGATACAGGGAGGGCACTTAGAGCATGTGTTCCAGGGTGCGTTCCCTAATCATAGGTGTGCGTGTAGACTGCTTTACCGTTTGTAAAACACCCTTATCTGTGATCTCCTTTGATCATTTGAGGAACCGCACAGTGGCCTTCATCCACCATTTATATGGAAACCGAGGCTCAGAGGGAGGAAGCAACTTACCCAAACTCAGAGGGGAGGCAGGGACATGGGACTTGAACCTGACCCTGGAATCCTGAGCCTGTGCTCTGTGCTCAAGGGCTCCCTGCATCCCCCTCCCACCTCAGCTTTTAAGGCAGGCCTGGCCCTCCCCGGCCTGGATTTTAAAAGAAATACTGATCTTATTAATTTTTTCATAATCACCAACATAGTTGCATGTTCGTTATGTTTTTATAATGTTTCGGTTTTAATGTCATATAGAAAGTGAAAGTCTCCCATGATCCCCATTTCCAGAGATGTGAATACATCTTTCCACGTGTATTATTATTATTTGTTTATTTATCCCAAATCAAGCCCTGTTACAGCTGCTGGTTCACAGCTTGCTCTTGCTTCATTTAATAGTTCCCCCCGGACCTCTTTCTCAGGTGAGGGGACATCTGTGAGTATGTGCCCGGTCAGAAAGTCCTGACACCCTCCTGCCCTCCCACCCCCATGTCGCCTCTCCTTCACCATGCTGGGGTTTTTGAGCAGCGGAGGAGGTGGGAAATGCCTAGTGTGTGATTTTGTTGACTCTCCTGTTTATTGGGACAAGGTCAGCAAATCTGGGCCCTGCCCTGTAGGAGTTTCCTGTTGGTTTTGAGGAACTCTGTCCTGCCCAGAGGCGAGGTCTGAGCTGGAGTCTCTGGCCAGTGATGAGCAGGAAGCAGCAGAGCCTACTTATCTGAGATCAGAATTCCTCCTCCAATTCCTCCTCCGTGCCAGGGACAGCGTGGAGGGGACGGCATGGGCCGGCGGGAAAGGGCTGGCCTTCAGGTTTGGGCCTCCCTGTCTGCCTGAGGTAGGGGTCAGGTTGGGGGATTGAGGGGACACACGCGAGTTGTTGCGTTTGTCTGAGTCTGGCCCTGACTCAGTTTACCCTGGCAGGAACCCCTTGCAATGCTCCTTTTGGGTTTTCACCTTGAGGATGGGCAGGTGAGAAGAAGGTGGGGGAACTGCCTTGGGACCTGGGGCTAAAGATGCTCTTTCGGGACACACACGACCTCAGGGTGGGTTTCGGCAGGGGCAATTCAGTTTCATGGAGCCCGGGGAGTGGTTTGGCAGGATCAAGCTGGGGATGAGGTGCGGGCCCGCCGTCTCCCTCCCCCGGCGGGTTCTCAGGCTGCTGGCCTGACCCCCCCTCACTCCGTGTTTCTCCCCGTCTTCCTCTCCCTGGACTCTTCCCTTTCCTCTGAGACACTTCTGGCAGCGAGCCCCGGGAGCTGGCCGCTCCGCCTTGTCCCACCTTCCAGCAGCAGGGCCTTCGTGTCCCGTGGTCATCCTCAGTGGTTGCAGTCTGAGCGCTTGGCAGTGTGCCAGGTCACTACATACATCTGCCACCTTACCTGCCTCCTATGTGAGGTAGATTCATCTTCGGGTCAGGAGACCGAGGCTCAGAGGGACGAGGGCTCTTTCCCAAAGTTGTACAACTTAGTGGCAAAGTCAGGACTCGAACCTGGGTCTGTTTGCCTTGGCAGCCCATGCTTGTATTCCACTTTCCACTTTTCTTTTTCTCTGGTTCTTTGGCTTCGGGGTACTTCAGAGTCCCCTGGGAGCCGGTTTAAAATGCCGTTTCTCCCGGGCCCACCACCGCAGGCCTGCTCTCTGAGCCTTGGGGCTGCGCCCAGGGGTCTGCACTTTGAAGAAGCTCCCCAGGCTGGTGGTCTGTAGGCCACACCGGGAAAAGCTGACCAGGGCAGCTCTTTCAGCCCTGGTCCCTCCCTCTGGTGACAGAGTCCCACTGCCACCAGAACCAATGCCCTTGCTGTAGAAACTGGCTGAGATCCCCTCAGGACCAGGGGACATTTGGGGGCGGGGACATTTGACCTTTCATCATCAAGGATGTGTAGGGCTGAGATTTCTAGAATAGCTTTTACTCCCAGCCACAAACAT